AAAAAGAATAAAAAAAAAAAAAAAAAAAAAAAAAAAAAAAAAAAAAAGACACTGTGGTGTTAGGAATATTAATTAAGTTTAAAACCTTATAGTTATAGAAAAAAAATATTCTGTGACCATATGTTCTTTTAAAATAGTGCATTATAGGTAGGGGTTGGCAAATTATAAGCTATCTGCCAACTTTTGTTTGTTTGGAGAGTGCTGGGGATAGAATTAGGTCCTGGAGTATTCTAGACCAGTGTACATCTCCAGCCCTACCTGGTTTTATAAATAAAATATTACTGTAACACAGCCATGTTCTTTTGTATTGCCTCCCATAGTTACAATAGTGACTGACTTACAAGCCCTAAGATGTGTACTGTCTGATGTTTTACCAGAAAACATTGTCAGTACCTAATACAGGTGTAGACTAGGAAGTAAAAGTCCTTTTATTGTTCTGCAATGTTTTACTTAGAAAAATCTCAAATCTACAGAAAATTTCAGAGAACAGGATGATGAGCACCTTTATCTGGATTCACTAATTTATACTTTCGTTGCTTTTTCTTTATGTCTTTACACATACTTCATGCATATACAGGTCTTTGTTGAACCATTAGAAAATTGGTTGTGTGCATTATGACATTTCACTCCTATATAATGCCCATATATATTTTCTCAAATAAGGACATTAACCTATGCAACCTCAATATTGTTGTCACACTTAGGAAAATTGCCACCTTTTTAAGAATATCTAATACAGTTAAGAATTTTACACTTGTCCCAAAATTTGCATCTGTACTCTTTTCTTCCTTTTTTTTTAAGTCTGGGACCTAATTTTAGCACATTCTTCATATACTATACTGACATGTATTTGATCTCTTTAGTTATAGTCCTTTGGCCTTTACCAAAAAGAATTGAGTATTTGTTTGAGAAGAAATGGATAATAATTGAAGTTCAGCAAAACTTCTCACAGTATAGCATTCATCAGAGCCCAGTTTAGTTAGTGTAAATTTAAAACTAGGCTTCTGCGTATGTATATCTAGAATACCCTTCTTTCATTAAGTATATTTATGCCAGTGTAACTTATAGACCATGTTGTGAATCATGCCAAGTGCATGTTTGCGCCGTAGTAAATGTGCTACCTTTTAAAACAGTGCCAATATGTATTTCACTTTGTTTTTCTGGCCACTGTTTCATTTTAGTTACTCTTTGTTTTTTAAGTACACTCTGGTTTAGTCAGCTGTGCTTGAGTGTCTTTTCTTACCATTTTAGATATGGGAGAAGGGACTGCTCTAAGTGCACGTACAGATGGAAACATTGGAACTATAGAGGATGGTAGTGACAGTGAAAACATTCAAGCAAATGGAATCCCGGGAACACCAATTTCTGTTGCATACACACCATCGTTACCTGATGACAGATTGTCTGTCTCTTCCAATGATACTCAGGTATATATGGGGTAAAGTGGAGAGAAAAAAATGGATGGTCTGCCCGTATCTTGAGCAAATCTTCCCAGCTGATGCTTTTGGTGGATTTCTGCTTGTGGAAATAAAAGGCTGGGGTTTGAATGGATTTCTTTCTTTCTTTCTCATTGCTATAACTTAGAGCAGTTTGTTCTCTTAAGATGTATTGATAGCTACATTCCAACTCTAAGTTGTGTTTCATCTATGTTTACAACCCCTCCCCTGCCACTGAAGTTACATTTAAGAGGAACATTCTTTTCACATATTCATGGGGAAATTACAGAATCATAGGACAAGGAAAAACTTAGGAATGTAGGGCATTTTATCTGAGTCTCCGTTCAAAGCTATGAAGAGGTCAGCATGAATGGGAGTGACAGGCCTTCCTCATGCTTCTCTCTTTTATGTGTTTCTGGTCTTTGTGTTTGAAGACAAGGGATTCTAGAGATTTTCTTGGTTGGGGTGACCTTCATCAGTAAATGACTTTAAAGATTACTCCACTGTCTTATGTCTCCTAGAGTCAATTAAAAAGTCTGAGCCAGCTACATTTTAGGAGTATGCTTGATGTCAAAGAAGGAATTTTAGGTTTTTGTCTGTTTGCTTTTTGATACAGGATTTCTCTGTGCAGCCCTGGCTGTCCTAGAACTCGCTCTGTAGACCAGACTGGCCTTGAACTCACAGAGATCTGCCTGCCTCTGCCTCCCAAGTGCTGGGATTTAAAGTCATGCACCACTACCACCAAGCCAAAGAAGGAAAATTTTAAAGAATATATTTTTGAAGGTATTTATTTAGTGTTGAGTATGAGAATAGCATATTACACAGCACTGTGACAGATTCCACTTCAGGTTCTTCTCATACCAGTTGGGGAGAGTGCCACATCAGAGTCAACTGAATAATGTGCTAGAAGATTAAAACGACTTACACTGGGATATGTCTTAATTTCATGATATATTCAATTCTTTAGGAATCTGGAAATTCTTCAGGACCTTCACCTGGTGCTAAGTTTTCCCACATTTTACAAAAGGATGCCTTTCTAGTATTCAGGTCATTATGCAAGCTGTCAATGAAACCACTGTCAGATGGACCACCAGATCCAAAGTAAGTCATTCACCATTGTGCTTAAGTTGTTAAGCTTATAATGTAGTGTTTGGGTTTTAATTTGTTCTTCATGTCCTGTGGAATCTTAAAATTTTTTTTCTGGCGGGGATATTTTACTTTAAAAACTACATATCAAAAATAGTAGGTTCCCAAACTATTGAAATATATATTTTACATTATTTGAGAAAGGATGGGCAGCAATATATATATATAATGTATATAACTGGTACACAAGTAGGTGTCAATATATGTTATTGAGTGAATAAGTCAATGATTTCATATTTCTATGTTCTGAAGAGCTTTGGAACTATTAAGGTCTGATGAATTACCTTAAGATGATTTCTGTCTCCACTTGTACTAAATACTTTGATAAAGTTAATTATCTATTCCCATCAAATATAGTACGTTTTTGGTTGGGTTTGTTTGACTCAAGCTGGAGCCTTCTAGGAAGAGGGAGTCTATAGTGGGAAATTACCAATACGGAGTCAGGTAGAAATATAAGGGTATTTAATAGGGAAAAGCCTTACTTACAGAGCTACCTAGCCAGCCGGCGTAGCAGCAGTCTGTACTCGAGCCCAAAAGAGAAAGTGAAAGAGCAAACGCAGTCACACTACATCACCCTGACCACGCCCTCACAAGCATGGTCAGGCACACCTGTAGCCAGCTCCTAAGTAGGCGTGGCTGCAGCTTCCCCTACTGGAGTCTCTGTTGACCACCTTTAGACTAGCCTGTGGGCAAGACTCTGGGACATTTTCTTGATTGATGGTAGATGTGGGAAGGCCCAGACTGCTGTGGGTGGTTCCAGGGTTCTATAATAAAGTAGGATGAGCAAGCCACGAGGAAGAGGCCTGTAAGCAACATAGCCTCTGCATCAGTTCCTGCATCTAGGTTGTTGCCTTGAGTTTGTGCTCTGGATTGATTCCCTTGATGATGAACTGGGACATGGAAATGTAAGCCAAATAAACTCTTTCCTCCCCAAGTTGCTTTTGATCAGTATTTTATCATAGTAATTAAAAGCAAACTTCAGTACCTAGGAAAGTGACATATTTTGTGGATCATAATGTCCTTATGTATTTATATGATTCTAGTGAAACTTATTTCTGTTTGGAGTTAATAGGATGGCCTATTTATTATTATTATTATTATTATTATTATTATTATCATCATCATCATCATCATCATTATTATTATTGTAGCAGGATTTATTGTCCTTGACATTTTTAGGAGACTTTCTAGGAAAAGGATGTTTGGAGAAGGAATGACTTGAAGAAAAAGATGCTTCAATTAAAAAAAATCTTTGGAGTGTTTTGAGTTTCTAATGCAGCTGGATCTAGAGAGTTGCTAAAAACTTGAGAGTTGGGAAATTGCTGAGTGAGTAAAACCCTTGTTGCACGACTCTGAAGACCGGTATTCGGATCCTAGAACCCATGTAAATCCTCAAAAGTTTGCAGGCTAGCTAGCCTGCTACACACAGCCACAAACAGTAAAGAGTGCTTGTAGCAAACAAGGTGGAAGATGAGCACCAGCAGCATCTAAGGTTGTCCTCTGACCTTTCTTCACAGACATAATTTGTCCACCTGCATACATAAATGTTTGTGCGTACACAAACATTCCTCATATATAAAAACACACTCATATACATAGGAAAAAGCTTTTAAAACATAAGGTTCTGCAAAATACATTATATTCTATAGTTTTATTTTGTCACATTGTTTTGCTTTAAGGAGAAACTTGTTTAAGATTCAGAAGCAAAATTTTAAAATATTTTTAGGCCCAAATCTCAAGAATCAGAAAAACAAGTTCTTGATTCTTAAGTATAACTAAAGATATTAATTATATACTAAATAAGGATTTTTTTAAAAACATGTTTCCATATTATGGAAAATCACTTTTCTCATTAAAAATTTGACAACTTTGGCATTTCCTTCTGAATTCATGAGGAACTACTTTAAGAAGAAAACTTAACAATTTGGAGTGTGTTAACATCTTAGAGAAGATCCAGGCAGTTCACAGCCAATTGTACTCTAGTTGAGGGAATATGATGCCCTCTTCTGGCTTTTGAGGACACCTGCATTCACGTGATGCACATAAAACTATACAGGCACTTGCACGCACATTACACACACAAATAAGTAAATCTTTTTTTTAAGGTGTTTTTTGTTTGTTTGTTTGTTTGTTTTTGTTTTGTTTTTTTGAAATATTAGGTCTGGAGTGAAAGTTCTGTTGGTAAAGTACTTGCCCTGCCAGCCTGAGGACCTGAGTTTGATCCTGTTTCTAAAAAGTTCAGGATGTTGAGCAGTGGTGGTGCACATCTATAATCCCATCACTTAGGAGTCAGATGCAGATGGATCTCTTTGAATTTGAATTCAGTCCAGGACAGCCAGAGATACACAGAGAAACCTTGTCTTAAAAAACCAAAAAGCTAGCCATATAGGGGCGGTGGCATGTACTTATAAGCCCAGTGTGGGGTTGCAGGTCTAGATGCATCCCTGGGGCTCACTGGCTAACCAGCTTGGCCTGCTTGGCAAGTTCCAGACCAGTGAGAGACAGTGTCTCAAAATTTTAAGAGATGTGTGGATCTTGCCAGAGCATTCCAAGTGGTCCTTTGGTCTCCACATGTACACATACTCACAGAAAGGAATTAGATTTATTGCTGAATATTATTTTTGCTGTGCTTTTCCCCCAGATGATTAGTTTTCACAAGTCAGATGTAAAAAATGTGAATTGATAATATGCTAGAACTACTGAGGTTATATAATTTTGTCTTTTCATCCTTTTATTTTCTTGCTCTGCTAAGCAATGACCTATGGAGTATTGTCCAGCTTCAAATTGTAATTTGAAACTATCTCAAAAAATTGCAGTCATAAAGTTTCCAGTTTGGTATAATTTAGCCTAGCATAATGATATTGTCATTCCATCTTGTGGAGGCTGAGGTAGGATTGCCATGTGTTCAAGGCCAGCCTGGACTATATAGTGAGAAACATGTCTCAGAAGATGTTTATCATTTATTAAATAAGACAATCATTTGGTCCTTACTTCCTTTGTTAGTAGTTACCTAAATGTCTAAAAGGCATTTTGTTTGATGCTAAGAATAGGAAGTTAAAGCATATGTATAACAAAACTCATTAGAAAATGGCACCCAGCAGGATGGAGCTAATATAGGCATTGAGCAAAAGGACGACCTGAGGTGGCATGGAAGTAATTGTATGTAGGCCTCAGAATACCCTACATGAGGACTCTCCAGTAGTTTCTTCCAGTCTTACCTCTCATTGTTTGCAATTTTAAACAAGTATTTGGGGGTACTAATACTTTCGTATTAGTAATAGTTACTAGAATAGAATAATAGTTATCTTGGAAACAAAAATATAAAGTTCTGATTACTATTGGCTCCAGCTTTATTTCAAAGAAAGTAGTAGTTTTGTGATGAACTATTGATATAAAATTAAGTATTCCTTGTTTTGATCTGTGAATTACTGACACATCTATAAACATTTTAAGGAAGAAATTGAGCAAAGGTTTCATATACTATGTGAATGTAACTAATTACAGTATTAGGAATAGGTTTTTAAAAATAATATCTATAACATTTAATGCTCTGCCTTTGAAAGACTGCCTCAGAGAATATCTTTGGTCTTTTGGACCTGAGGGATAGTTTTCAGTGGGAGAAAAAAGTATGTATGTGAAAATAATTAAAATGTTAGATAGAAAGCAGAAGCATAACACATAACCTTGATTAGAAAAATAATAAAAATTCAGCCAGTTTTTTTTACAAATTTACATTACAGATGTGTTTAGAATAAGAGTTTACATATTAAGAGATACTTTAAAAAGTTCTAAAGGTCTTTTTAGTTTAGAAGAGTAACAAGAATTCCAAATACTAGGAAGGTATGGTTGAAATAATGCTATAATCTAATGCAACAAAAACATTTTTTGATGTTTAGGAATTCTGACTAACATAACTAGAAAATCATTATATTAGAGTCACTTCATACTAAGCATAGCAGA